ATATTTTCATTTTTTTGTGACTTGCTATTGACGGATAATGTTATTTTGTACATCTCATTGGTCATTTCTTGCCCCATTTCAACGTGTTTTTCTTTCTTTTTGAAATGTTTTGGCGAGTACGTTATTAATCACATTACTGTCTGCGAGGTATCTGTTTATGAAAAAAAACCCTCAAATTTGTGGACCCTATTTTTGATAAAAGATATAATTTATTGCACTGAGGGGACTTGTATTTGCTATTCGTACGGGAGTCGGTTCAGCAAATATTTACCAACATTTTTCACTCCCGTACGAATTATTCGCGATTGTTATTCGTACGGGAGTCGGTGCAGAGAATATTTACCAACATTTTTCACTCCCGTACGAATTATTCGTGATTGTTATTCGTRCGGGAGTCGGTTCAGCGAATATTTACCAACATTTTTCACTCCCGTACGAATGCCTTTTTGTCTTTTTCTCTTTACTTTACGTAAATATTTTTTCTTTCTGAAATTGTTTTAGCCGAGAAAAATTTTGTAGTACCCCTCCTACCAAATAGCGGTACATAACAAAGATTAGGTATTAAAAAAGCTCCAGCATACCAGCACATTGGGCAACCAAGAGCACGCTCCACGAGCGTCTTGTTGCAATGTTTTTGCAAAATTTTCGGGATAGAATCACTAGTTATTTATAATACAATAAAAATTGTAGGATAAAAGTTACAAATTCAGCGTAAAAAAGGGTCTACGTTCCGTACAATCCAGCCAACCRAAGTCCAGTCCATTCCATCTATGTACGGTTCCGGATTTTCCAAAATTAAAAAACACTCAAAATTCGGGCATTTGGAAGAGAGTAACAAATTTTAGAAGTTGAGCATATTTATTCTATACAGTAAGATTATCCATGGCCATTCAAAAGGTGAAAATTCAAAACTTTTTTTTTGTGATTCAAGATCCAGTCACTGACTGAGGCCCAGTCACTTCCAATCCATTTCAGTCAAAACCAATCCATTCCAGTGACATCGAAATTACATCCAATTTATCTTAATAGCATCTTAATGGAGAAAAATTAGTCGTAAAAATCTGTAACGATCCACAGAGTCACCTATAGACACATTATGTATACAGCCCTTTGAAAAACCTTTGCCGTTGACCGGCTTCACAGGACTTCAATCAGTGCCACGATCCAAAACACCAAAAAAAATCTTTGATTTTTTCTTCTTCAAAATTTTCGCGTTGGTTAGTAGAGCCTAAAGGAAAATACGGCTTTCAGTCTCTAGTTAATCTTGAATTTACGTCGCTTATTTGGTCATGTATCTTGAATTTAATATAATTATTTCGTCAGCTCTTTAGGTCAATTTTAGTTGTTGTCCATCAGCGTAATTTTGAATGTTTTATCTTAATAAAAATGTACCGCTTTTGTATATCTTTTAACCAGTGAAGTGGAAATGACACTCGATTAGTAAAACTATACAGATGCGGTTTTGTAACCGGAGAAAACTGACGTCACTAAGGTTTAATACTGTAGGCTCCATTTAAAAGGTGTACACTTTTGAATAAATTCGGATGTGAGAAAAAAAAGTGTTCTGAAAGAAAAATACACCTAAACTATTCCAAATTACTGGTAAAAAAAAAAAAAAACAGATTTAAAAGGAGCACACTTTTGAATAAATTTGATGTGAGAAAAAATAAGTGTTCTGAAAGAAAAATACACCTAAACTATTCCAAAGTACCCGCTCCTCCCAAATAGCCGTACATAACAAAGATTATGTGTTGTATAAGTTCCATCACACCAGCACATTGGGCAACCCAGTGCACACTCCAAGAGCGTCTTGTTTTTATTAAAATTTTATCTCTGCAAGCGGCACAAGTCGACAAAGCGTGCGCGCTATATTCACCTGTAAGTGTATATCATTATTAGACGTAAATTGTGACCAATGAGCGCGCCGGATTTATTATATTCACTTGTGTAAAAAATATTAATAACGTTCATTTTTACTCATATATTCAAAAACCTGGTTACAAATAGTTATTTTATTTCAAAATTATGTGACATGACAGAAACAAACAAAGATTATATAACATCATTCCTAGTTTTTTTTGTAAACATGTAATGTCAAACAGCGATGCATATTCCTATTGATTTCTCATTTATATTAGGTACACTTAATATAATATAATATTTGTAATGTTATATTGATGTGTAGTACAATGTCATCCTAAGACTAATTTTTTCGTAAATAACCTTATTTTCAACTGTTTTATCATCATGTGTTGACTGGTTAAACTAGGATGATTATTTTTGACGTTTTAGACCAAGTCAGAGTCATTTCTTTTTGTCGGCTTTTTTGGCGGCAGGTTTTCCCTTTGGCTTCTCGGGGGCTTTTGCAGCCTCTGGCTTTGCGTCGGTCTTTTTCTAGAGAAATACAAACGATCAATACTAATGCTAAAAAAATAAATGAAAAAATTTAAAACAAACTAAAAAGTGTGGTATGCTACACCTTTGGTAATGGTACTCTCCATATATTTATATGAGTATCATTGGATGAAATGGAAAAGAGATATATATACATACACAAATAACAAATTAAATAATTAATATACTCAAGTAAACAGTTAGAAAATTATCCTTATAGATAAACAGTAAGAGAGAGAATAATGAAATTTTTTAAATAATAATTCAATAAATAAATTTCTTAAAAGTTGACAGTAATTGAATGTCATTGGGTAAGGAGTTCCGGCTGTGTAGGCACAAGTTTAGGGATCTTTACAAGAAGCTATGCCCCAGATTTATATTTTGACATATACAAGCTAATGATTTAATCTGTAAAAACATCCTCCACTTACGGCTTTGGTCTCGTCTTTTTTAGGCATTTTCTGTAGAGACAAAAGGACACGAGTGAATATAAAAGATCAATGAATGCATGGGAAGAATAAATAAAGTAAGATGAAGTAATAATAAAATAATACGTCATTAGTTTTAATAGTGAACGATTGTTATGTTTGATAGTTGATGAACACTTTGGTAATGAAATATCGGCACGACATCTCAACCTTTATCGAGGTAATATTTACTTTCTAGTTGTATGGGAGGTCAATAAAAATAACAAAATACAAATACTAGAAAACGAGGGAAAGGTTTAAAAGAAAAGCGGTTTCAAGCGCGCGCTGAGCGCTGGCTCCGTGCGTTAGCGATCATGACTGTCAGCCAATCAGATTGCATGAAAAACACTTAGATATTTATTCTGAACGGTGCACTCGAAATATTACTTTTGAGTCATGATTACCGTTACGGGCCGTTTTTCTAACAGTAGTTTTTCACGATATTGTCCTCCTGCTCGCTAGGTATCTGTGCGGCAAAATAGGCGGGAAAAAAAAAAAAAAAACACAAAAAAAAAAAAAAAAAAAAAAAAAAAAAGCGCATTAAAAAATGGGCTCGATAGATTTTCTTCTAACATGTGCTAAATTCAGAAATATCCGAGTATTTTTGAAGCGATACGAGGGCGTTCAAGAAATCGCTAAATTCACTCGCAATATATTTTGGAGTCACCTTAAATACTTCATAGAACTTTAAACTCGAACAATAGCTAAATTGGAAATAATTCTATAGTAAATGCTGCTTGCAGAGGTATCTTACCTTTCGGTTGGGTTTTCTGGCGAACTAAGGTTCTATGACTCTTTTTCACTTGATCTGACGAAGACTCCTTCAAGGAATATATGGTCAGTTAATGTTCGTTTTAATAGGTACGAAACCTCACACAACCAGATTAGCTCGTATTTTGACAAAAACCAGTTTTCGAATGAGAAACAGGTTTATAAATACATTCATTTATTGGAAAAACCAGTTTTCGGTAAGATTCAGAGTCACGCGGAACGCGTGACTTGACTGTAAAATATTTGCGTTCTGATTAATCCAGTTGTACAGGGGCTCAGATATTTAAAAGAAATAATAAAATATTATTTAAAAACCTCGAGCAATAGCTAGACTGTGGAAATCATTCTATAGGAAATGCTGCATGCAGACGTATCTTACCTTTTCCAGCGAGCTTTAGTCCTGTCTCTCTTTTCTTGATCTCGTGGACTACAGAAAATATACTTTCACATGTTCGAAGATCAGTTTTATAGGTACAGATCGTCAAACCAGTTTAGCGCGTATTTGACGAAAACCTGTTTTTCAAAAAATTAACAGGACTAAATCTTTCATTTTGACAGATAAGTGAAAAACAAATTCATAAACAGAACCAGTTATGTTGGAAGAACCGGTTTTTCGTGAAATTCAGGGTCACGCCACTTTGTCTGAAGCCTTTTGAGGAAAATTTTACGAAAATAATTGGGGGAAATTAGAATTTTTCAGCCTTTCATTGAAATAGAAAAAATAAAATTACAATAAATGGAGATACAGAGTTTAAAAGCTACAACAGGGAAAAAACGACTTTTAGTATTAATATTTTTTAGTTTTTTAGGAAAAACCGTATTTGCAGTCGGGGTAATGTAAACACTTCAGATCGCTGTTGTGTATAGTAATGAAGTGAAACATAGCTGACCGTACCAGTCTGGGTGGACACGGGTCGGAATAACCTGTTAAACTGGATTTTACGTAATCATCTTGTGCTTTTTTCTTGCTTTCAGTAAAAGGGATAGATTTCAAAAAGCTAAAGCGCTGACTCATCTATTAAACTTAACATAATGAAATAAGTTCGCGATATATCTTTTGAAGTCTCTGCTCCAAAGTTGTGGAATGACCTTCCAAAAGACATTAGACACTTAGCCTCTCTAGATATATAAAAAAAAAAAACCACTCAAAACACACCTTTTTAAACATGATTGATTCTTATTTATATATAAATATTTATATATATTCTTACTATTATTATTTTCTTTTATTTAAATTTATCAGGAGCTATATTTTTAAGATTATTTGTAAATAATCAGTCACTCACTGAGATGAAGCTAATCGTGGGGCTTACGTCATCTACTTACAAAACTTATACCCCATTCACACCAAGGCTTAAACATGTTTTAAAGTGGCTTAACTAAACAGGTTTGGAAAACTATCTACGAACACTGCACAATATTTGGTAAAATAATGCATGTAAACCATCCTTTGTCTTGCTCTGACAATATTTTAGAAAGTTTCATTATATTGTAGGTTTCTAGTTTATCAATTTTTTTCCTAATGAAAACATAGTTTAACTAAACACGTTTAGGTGTGAATGGGGTATTAGTTTCGAAATTGCAAATACGCAGTTCTTATTAACCGATAAATGCGTGAATAGCTTTGAATAGCTATCATAAAACAATCCCACTATGCACTAGTGCATAAGGAAGAATACGATATTCTTTAAATCTCTAGAATAAAATATGGGGCACATCAATGTATGTTGTTTTGGAAGTAATCGTTTTTGCAACGAGGGTGACGAAGTTTGATCTTGAAAAACACACTCTATATGCGCAGAACAGATCTGCGCGAATAATGCCGGCAAACGACATTGAATCGCGTCCTTGAATCGCATTAATTAAATGGGGCAAAGATTTTAAGTGATCCATAGAAACAAAACGACTAAAAATCACATATGATAATTTGTAATTAAAAAAATCAAGTGTCAGTTTTATTCAAATTCAAACGCAACGAGTTTTCTTTCAACCAAACTATCGGTAAATAACTATCTTGTCACACAAGATGTGACAGTGTTATTTCTTGCCTCCTTTGTGACCATGTTTTTCGTCTTTTTTGGATTGTTTTGGCGAATGTTTACCATGGCTGGTCTGGTGTTTTTCGTCTTTCTTGGAGTGTTTTGGGGAGTGTTTTCCATGACTTTCTGGGTGTTTCTTGTCATGCTTTTCTTCTTTCTTGACATGTTTCTCATGTTTCTCATGTTTCTCATGTGCTTCATGTTTCCCCTCCTTTTTATCGTGTTTCTCAGCCTCCTTCTTGTCATGTTTTCCATGCTTCTCGGCCGCAGCTTTTCTCTCGTGCTCTGGCGAGTGCTTCTGTGCCTCTGCCTTCTTCTCTTTGCCTACATGTTCAGTTGGGTGTTTTTTCTAAAGAAAAGAGAACAAGAATACTTTGTTAAAAACTATCAAGAAAAAAGCAGGTCCTAGATTCATGGTATAAACGATGAGTGTGGCATACCACAGTTCAAGTCCTCCTATATATATGTACAAGCAAATAGGTCCCAGAATCATGGTATAAACAATGAGTGTGGTATACCACAGTCCAAGTCCTCCCATATATATGATATGTACAAGTAAATAGGTCTTAGATCCATAGTCTAAAGGGTGTGGCATACCAGTCCAACTTCTCCCATATGTGATATGTACAAGAAAATAGGTCTTAGATTTAATAATATATACCACTTCTCATGGTTTAAACTCAAGGGAAGTAGGTGTCAGATGCATGGTTTGAAAAGTGTGGCAAACCACGCCCAGGGAGGATAGTCACTATGTTCATACCTCATGTTCTTCTTTCTTCTCTTCTTTTTTATGCTTTTTCTCACTTTCATGCTGAAGATACACAAGGAAATGGCTATTAAGTTGGCATTCTTGATTTCATTTCAGTTATATAAGACAACTACTTCTCTTTTCAAACTGATTTTCTAGCCCTAGAACACTCTGGTCGCTATCAATAGGCCTGAAGCGAGATGACGTTTTACCCCCGTCTCTAGACCATAATCCTTTTCACATTGCTTTTGTTCTTTAATTATGACTATTGTTCCTGTATTCTCTAAGGGATCAAAAAATTTATTATGAAAGAATTTTAAAAACTATTATGGTATAGAGTCGGGGGCAAAACGTCATCTCACTTCAGGCTTATTTTGGTCCCTTGTGAAATTTGTATTGATTGATACCAACTACTAGATGAATACTTTCTGGTTGATAGCACATGATGGCAGTGGTTTCCTGATATTGTGATATTGTATATTGTTTATTTAAAGCTGATTTTACAAACTAAGGGTTCAATATTTTTAAACAATCCTTCACTTACGGATGGTTTCTTATCATGCTTGCTGTCTTCTTTAGGCATTTTTCTGTACAGACAAAAAATAGGAGTTTGAATATAAAAAGCAATCAATCGATTCATCAGAGGTATAAAACAAGGATGATGTCATTACACGGCACGGTAAAGCAAACGTCACTATTCTACTTTCAGCTATCACGCCGTCACGCAATCGTCACACAGTGGACGTGCATGATGGCGAAAACAGGTCATGCAAAAATGCTTTCAATATTAAAACAATTATTCTAGTTTTAGCTTGAAAAAGGATTTTTAAATTCAATTACAAAATCTAGGAAGAACTCTAAAAAGAGTGTAGCTATCTCCCTTGATGACCAACATTTTTCACTCCCGTTCGAAATATTCGCGATTGTTATTTGTACGGGAGTCGGTTCAGCGAATATTTACCAACATTTTTTACTCCCGTACGAATTATTCGCGATTGTTATTCGTACGGGAGTCGGTTCAGCGAATATTTACCAATATTTT